GGTTTCAAACGATAACAAACGTGGCTATCGGCGTTTGCGGTGCGCTCGATGTGCGTACTCGTTCAGCTCGTCTATATTTAGGAGTGCGAGTCGTTTTGCTTTCCCCGAGAGCTCAACCGACCCGGTTTGCAGCAAGCAACTGTTGCAGGTACGCGCCTGTGGAAGGCGCTGTGCGAGTGCTTGTTTTCGTAGCGGGACTGGCCTAAGCCTATAGCGTCCCTCGTTAACTATGTCGCTTGGTCTGGCTTAATTTGTTCGTTTTCGCGTGTTTATTTTGATTTGGATTACGCTGTGGTATGAGTGAGGAAGGGGAGAAAGGGTGATGGGGCTGAATGAAGGTGTTGGTTCCCATGAAAGCGGCCCCGTTGCTCGATGAATTCTGCAACCATCATGATTGTAAGAACCATCCTGATTGCAACCACCCTGATGGTAATACCGAGAATTCTTTAACCGGTAAGGGTCTGCGAGCCATTTGGCGGCAGGCAAACGGGCGCTCGGCTCGCAACAAGTTTGTCTAGGTATGTTCCCATCATTTCGCTTCGAAAGGCAAGTAGCTCTCAAGTTATGCAGTGCGCCTCGCCTCGTGTACTAAAGCGAATATATGGATACATTTAGAGTAGTAGGAAACATGTACCAGTTTGGACAAAGCCCAGTAGGGCGGGGCCAAACCCAGTCCAACCAATCACAGCGCTGTGGGGCGGAGCCCTTTCCCTCTCACCCATCCCGGTGACCAATGCAGGTGACCAATGCCAGGCAGTGGGCATCGATGGCCCGGCCCACAGTGACCAATCGGAGCTCAGCGAGGTCCCCCCTCGAGTCACGTGCTCGGTGTAGGTGTGAAGTCACGTGCGCGTCGCGTGTCCGGCGCTATAGAACTTGAATGCCTACCGAAGACAACATAGATTTAATAAAGTCATTGGGTTTTAGAGACAGCGAAGGGAGAGTGGATTTCAAGACTGTAGAGATTACCAAGCAAAGATTAAGTGAATGGTGGCAGAAATCCAGAGAAAACTAGGTATTTTCTTATTCACTGATGGCAAGGGGGTTTCACAGCCTCACTTTCTTTGCACTGCGGAGTGAATATAGATTTCACATTTAAATATTCTAAGCTTAAATGTTAAAACAAAATGGCTAGGTGGCGTAAGCTACCGCCCGATTCAAAGGGCTCAGCCGTATTCATCCATCCATGCGGCGCTCAGGGCGCCTCACGTGTGATGTCACAGGGTTCGAGCTGTGTCCGACAGAGGGCGCTCACGTGATGTCGCACAGGGTTCGAGTAGTGTCCGAAAGAGGGTGCTCACGTGATGTCACACAGGGTTTGTGCTGCATCCGAAGGAGGGCGTTCCGCTCCGATCACATGACGGTCACGTGTTTTGAACTTGAATCGCGGAAAATGCCCCTTTTATTCGATAAAAAAGGCTCCGCGAACGACTGGGACTCGAACTCACTACTTCGTACACAGAAGCCCGACACTCTACCCCCTGAGCTACGAGGCTTTTTTTTTTTTTTTTTTTTTTTTTCTTTATTTCATGGGAAACAAAAACGGAGAGTCAGAGCACACAAAAATATCGCACTACAAAAATAGGTCCCTCATTTATCACTACAGTTCTTTCATCTGTAACAATTTGTTAAACAATGGTACCCAATCGGGCTTTGTGTCGCGACCTTCGTACACGCTGGTGATTTGTGCCACCAGTTGAATGAAATAACAATGCACAGACTTCGGGGTCTGAACGGCATTTCGCACGTCCATTCGGGATTTCCACATGCTGTATAAACTAAGGAGCATAATAAGGTCATACGGAACGGTGTCCCCTGGCGTTACGGGCAGAAAACGAATGGAATGCGGTGTAATATCTAGGCTTTTGCGCAAAGTTCGCTGCAACACATCCCAAAAAAAAAATTGCGTCCCAGCAGTTGATAAAAATGTGCTCAACAGTTTCGGGCTCCTTACACAATAAGCAGTTTACAGTCCATGGAACAAAGATACCCTTCTCCTGCAACCATACCTTGGTGGGTAAAATAGAACAATGTAATTTGAAGAAGAATGTTTTGATCCTAGGAGGAATTCCCATCTTTTTTACACGACACAGCACATCTTGCCCAGGGTGATTTTTGTACAAGACTCGGTATATTGGCGTTGGGAAGAGAATATCAACAAGATCCCGTGTTAGTTTTTTCCTCGAGACAGTTGCGAGGTACTCCCGAGAAAAACGGACTGCTAGAAAATTAAAGGCGTCAACAACCTCTTTCAGGTATCCCACCAGTCTTGGTGGGTGATATTCAACGGTTGACACAACAAAAGTGGGGATAAAGGATGCCAGCTGGTTTTGGATGACTTCGCGAATAAAAGGGACTTCCTGGTCTCTTAAAAAAAGAAATCGTGATACCAACTGTCTAACGAATAAGTGGGGCAGGCCCACACCCCCGTCTGCGACACTACGGAAAAGGTTTTCCCGTCGCATAGGCTCCCAAGTTGAAGTCCATATGAAAACCGCAAAGACACGGTGAAACTTTTGTATATTGCTCCTTGCACAGTGTAGAACTTGTAGCACATACCAAAGCTTGGCAATCAAAAAAACGTTGCATATAGTTGCTCTCGTAAAAATCGACAGATCTCGGTGGATCCAGCGCTTGGAGCGCTTGTCGATATCTGCTGCTACAGTTGACCAATAGGTCGTGCTGTTTCTGTGGCTCTCCAGTGGCACACCGAGGTAGTTGCATGGAGTGCAGCTCCAATGGATGTCCTCGAAAACTTCGGGCGTGCTCGCCCACGTTCCGTGCCAGAAGCCCCTGCACTTTTGCAGGTTCACCGAGGCACCCGTGGCTTTGCAGAAAGTGTGCGTCAACCGCAAGGCGTGGCTTACACTCGTTTTATCGGTGCAGAAAAACGCAACGTCATCCGCATAAGCCAAGACTTTGGTTTCAACGCTGTGCAGGATATATCCTCGGACATTTGAACTTTGGATTATGCTCTGACACAGTGGTTCGAGGTACAAAGAAAAAAGTAAGGGGGACAGCGGGCACCCTTGCCTCACAGAAGAATGGACTGGTATACTTTCCGTCACGTTATTGTTAAGCACCAAACTCGTATAGCAGTTGGTGTACGACATCTTAACGCCTTGTAATATTATCTTCCCAACGCCTACATGCGCCAGTATCTTGAAAAGGACATCATGCTGAACGCGGTCAAACGCTTTCTCTAAATCAATTTGCAACATTGCAACTTGGTCGCCTCTTCCAGACATACAATCTAACACACTTCGGGCCGCGTGAATATTGCTCTGGATTGCTCTACCCCTTATCCCACATGTTTGATGTTCCCCGACTACTTCACAAATAATAGATTGCATTCTGTTTGCCAGTACTTTTGCGAATATCTTGTAGTCCACATTACACAATGTTATCGGGCGGTACCCTTTCACGCAGCGTCGTTGGTTGTTGTCCATTTCTTTTGGAATAAACACCGTGTGTGCCCGTAGAAACGAAGGCGGGAGCGCGTTTGCCTTGTGGGCCTCTTGAAAAACTTCATGCAGCACGAGACAAATCTCGTTCTTGTGCACTTTATAAAACTCAGCGATTATCCCGTCGGGTCCCGGTGTTTTTCCTTGTGGGAGAGCGTCCACAGCATTTACAATTTCTTGCACACTAATCGGTTCTTCAAGGGTTTCAACACAGTCTTCACTCAGTCGCGGTAGTAACGTTATCAATTTTGCAAGACCCTTGGTATCGTCTGCGAATGCGGGACAGCTTAGCAGTGCTCGATAGTGATCAAGAAAGACGCGTTCGATCTCCTCCTTATCAGTGACGATTCTGTTTCTGTGCTCTATCTCTAGTATTTCCTTACTCAGTGCGTGTCTCTTTTCGTCTTCCAACGCCTTCTTTGTGGGTTGCTCTCCCAAGAGAAACTTTTCTGCCCTCGACCGCACGACCGCGCCCGCGTACCGTTCCTGATAAAGACTGTCAAGCTGAGCTTTTATGTACTCTATGTCTTTTGTTCCGTAGCCAGGATTTTTGCATTCCAGCTCGTATAAAAGATGCAAGTCACGCTGGAGTTGCTTTTCTTTTTCGTGCTTGTAATAATTAAGCGTGCTTGCTCTTTCGATTGCCAATTGTTTTGCGTCTTGCTTAAAGGTTTCCCACCTCGCAAAAATGTTTTCCCCGTTTTGACCTACTTTTCTAAGTAATTTTCGCGTTTCGGACACGAAAAACTCATCTTTAAGTAGCTGAGAATTTAGCTTCCAAAGTTTCCAATTGATGCGCTTATGCTTCCTCCGTTTTTGTCCAATCGTTATCGCAACCATGCAGTGATCTGTGAATAACACAGGTTCCACAGTATAAGCATTTAAAAGTTGTATTAGTTCAATAGAACAATACAACCTGTCTAGTCGGGCATGCGACGCCCGTTGAAAGTGCGTGAACTGTATGAGTTTGGTTCCTGTTTGAAAGTTGGCTACGTCTAGCAAGCCTCCCTCTTCGACTACTTCGAGCAATAGTTGTTCACTTCTATCAAGATGGGGCCTGGTCGGCGTTCGGTCATTTAAGTCGCAAACACAATTGAAGTCTCCAAGGAGTACAACTAGTCTATCACACACCAAGTATGAGCGCAAGTGATTGAAAAACTGAACTCGAGAATTCATATCGTTTGGTGCATACACACAAATCACCCGCCACTTGCATTCCTGCACCCGGAAATCACACATAACAAAGCGGCCCTGCAGGTCAACCGTCAGAGCTAGTTCGCTTAACTGAACTGACTTTTTTATAAACAAGAAACACCCCCCCGAAAGACCGGCAGCATGGCTGACACATACCTCGTATTTTCTCAAAAAAAGTGGTAAAGCGCGGTCAACCTCTTCCTCATTCTCTAGCTTTGTCTCTTGTACTGCTAAAAAGTCAATCTCCTTTTCTTCGAGTAGACGGTGTAGCTGATTCTGCTTTTTCCTCGAATGAAAACCGCGTACATTTAAGCTGGCGAAGCGGAAACCGCCCATCGCTGCTTAAGGGGGTGGCTTTTCCTGGGCTTGCCGCGCAAGCGGCTTCGACACGTTTATGCGCTTACTTGCGTATGTGACCCCCGGTTCCAATTTCTTTCGCTTGACGTGACTGACACCAGTTCCCAGAGCAGAGTTTGTGTCCACTCCGTTCCCTTGACCCTCGGGAAAGGGACCTGCTTGCTTGGTTTCACCTTGGTCTCGGTCGTCCAGCTCCGAAGGTGTAGCAGCACTGCCGCAGTTACTGCCTTGCTCCATGGAAGAATCATCCCCTGTCTTCGAGGACACAGGTATGACTCCTGGGTCTTGTGGCTGGTGGTCGTTGATGGCGCCGGTCTCGCCTGGTACGGAGGGAAGACTGTTTGCAGGGCCGCCCGTGGACGCCCCCACTTCGCCGTTGGCTCCCACTACTTCGGACACGTCCATGAACTGGTCGAGATTCGATTCGGCATCCTCGTCACCGCGCCTCAGCACCGTGGCATAGGTCGCGTAGCACTCGTTGTCTTCGTGACCAAATTTGTTGCACTTGGTGCATTTTGGTGCGCGGCACTGTTTCCGGATATGGCCTACTTTTTTGCACCGTAGGCAAAGCGGTGGTCTTCCAGGCACAATGACAAGGGATTGCACCCGATATACCTTGATCATATGGGGCAGGTCGGAAGAGCTGACGGCGTCGTGCAGCGTCATGCTGACTTCTCTGTTCATGGTTTCCAGGTGTTCCATTCCCGGGACTCGCCATTTCTCCCTAACGATGTTACGAACTTTACCGTAAGGCTCGAGAGCTTCCACCACACGTCTGTCTTCCAGATACGTTGGGAGCCAAAGTAGCCTTACCCTAATGTCCTTTGCGTTGGGATCCAGCACCAGACACTTCCGCCCCTTGACCGTGAGTTGTCCAACCCTTTTCATCTTTTCTGTGGCAGCCATGCTTGCGAGAGTGATCATCCATATGTGGCTCATTTGGAATTGTCCAATTGAAACCACGTCCGTCATGTCCACGATGTCCTTCAGTCCGTCTCGAAAATCCACAGCACGGTACGGTCTTCCCATCAGGTCCGCGTGCAAAAACACGGAATTCAGACACATTTTTCCATCTGGGAAACGGGGCAACACCACACGATACTCATCGCTACTGCTGGCTGCAGCGTCGATGCTTCCTCGGCCCGCGTGGGCCGATAACGCGCCGTTATCGGAGCGAATCATCGTCTGTCCGCTCTCGTCGAAAGCCGGAAGCGAACTCCCCCTGAGCTACGAGGCTTTTTTTTTTTCTTTATTCACCGATTTAAAACAATAAAAACGACTACCCAGCACTTGTAGGCAGCCGTACAATTAAAATTCTTTCATTCTCATCACATCATCAAATAGGTTTGCCCATTCCGGCAAACTCTCACTGTATTCATAGACACTCTTCACCTGGGTTACCAGTTCAATCAAAAATGCTCTTGCCCCTTTTGGCGGGTGCTCGGCATGTCTAACCGACATGCGAGATTTCCAGAGACTGAATATTGCTAGCAGCATAAAAAGATCATAGGGAACATTATCTTCACGTTCAACGGCCAGAAAACGTATATTATAGGATGTTATGACTAATTCTTTCTTCAAAGTCCTCTTGAGAACATCCCATAGAAAAACAGCGTCCCAGCAGTACAAAAAGGAGTGCTCTACTGTTTCCGGGACTTTACATAGTGGGCAGTTAACGCCCCCAGGAACAGGCAAACCTCTTTCCCAAAGCCATGTTTTTACCGGCAGCGATCCAGAATGCAAGCGAAAGAAAAAAGATTTTGCGGTTGGAGGTATTCTCATCTTCTTAACTCGGCACAACACATCATTTCCAGGTCCGTTTTCATATAGTGAACGATAAACAGGTACAGGAAAAACACTTTCTAGTAGGTGCCGGTACAGGGTCCGCCTTTTAACGGTGGCCAAGTATTCCAAAGAGTACCGTACACTCAAAAAGCGAAAGGCGGCAACTACTTCCTTAACAAACCCAACCATCTTTGCTGGGGAACCGATAACGGACGATACAAAGAATTCTGGCAAATGACTGGTAAGTTTCGTTTGAAACATGACTTGTAATAATGGGTGTCTCTGGTCTCTCATAAAAATAAAACGCGTAACTAACTGCCTAAGAAACAAATGAGACAGCCCAAGACCGCCTTTGAGCGGACGTAGAAAAAGGTTATCTCGTCGCATCGGTTCTCCAGCACATTGCCAAATGAACAGCGCAAAAACTCTATGCATTTTCTGAATATTGCAGCGCGCACAGTATAGCACTTGCAAAACGTACCAGAGCTTCGCGGTTAAAAAAATATTACAAGCAGAAGCCCTGGTGAAAATAGACATGTTACGACCCCTCCATTTCCTCGTGCGTTCCTTCAAATCCTCTATCGCACCTTCCCAGTAAGGCGAACTCTTTTCCATGTGATCCAGAGGAGCTCCCAGGTATCTACCCGGGGAACATGTCCAATGAATCCCCTCAAGAAAAACCGGCGCATCGCCCCCCTGCCCGTACCATATCCCGAGACATTTATTTTTGTTAATACTAGCACCTGTAGCATCACATAAACTTTTGCATAAATCTAAAACTTTTGAAATGCTAGTCTTGTCCTGACAGAAAAAAGCAACATCATCAGCATATGCCAGTACTTTCACTTCCACGTTCCCCATTGTGTACCCCTCAACGTGCTCGCTTCTGATAACACTTAGACAGAGCGGCTCAAGGTAGAGACAAAATAATAAAGAAGACATGGAACACCCCTGTCGCACAGAAGATAGAACATTAATCTTTTCTGACAAAGAATTGTTAATGACAAGACGCGTCGTACAACCTGAGTACGCCATCTTGACTCCTTCAAAAACAATGTTACCTACATTGGCTTTATTTAGAACCTCCCACAGCACCCGGTGGCATACTCTGTCAAACGCCTTTTCCAGGTCAATTTGAATCATCGCTACCTGGCTTCCCTCTTCTCGAGAGTTTTCGAGAATAGTCCTCGCGACATGAATGTTCGTTTGAATTGCCCTCCCTTTAATTCCAAAGGTCTGATGGTCCCCAACTAACTGGCATATAACGTGCTGAAGTCGTCTCGCCAACACCTTCGCAAAGATCTTATAGTCTACGTTGCTCAACGCAATAGGACGGTAGCTCGATACCTTACGTCCCTGGGCTTCGTCTTTAGACTTGGGGATCAGTATCGTGTGCGATTGTAGAAACGAGGGCGGAAGCGCTTGACGTCGATAAGCCTCACGGATTACTTCGAAAAGGAAGACCGACAACTGGTCTCTGAAATGCTGATAGAATTCAGCGCAGAGGCCGTCTGGACCTGGCGTTTTATGAGCAGCGAGGCTCTCAATGGCTCGGTCAATCTCCGACTTTGTGATGGGTTGTTCCATCCAGTCCTTTGTTTCTGTGGATAGTTCAGGTGCTATATGGAGAAGACCTTTTAAGGCGGCTGTTTCTTTCGGCTCACCTTTGTCTCCACAGAGGTTCGTGTAATGTGCAACAAATGCTCTTTGAATGCCGTCTTTGTCCTTGCAGATGACGCCTTCATGGTCCAAAACGGTTATCTCTTTTGCCAGCGCAAAGCATCTTTCATCCGCCAGTGCTCGCTTTGTGGGCTGTTCGCCGAGCAAAAACTTCTCCGCCCTCGCCCGCACAACCGCACCACGATACCGATTATTTTGAAAACGTTGCAATTCACGCTTAACTACCTTTATCTCTTCAGCGTATCTACCAGGGCACTCGCTATCGTCTTTGAGAAGCGCGAGCAAGTACTGCTGCAAACCATTTTCTTCTTTCTTTGATACGTAGTTGGCGATGGACGACTTTTCTATAGCTAACAGTTTAACCTCCTCTTTAAATAATTCCCACTTCTCAGTGAAACTTAAGTATTTATTTTCGCCTAATTTATCTAAAATATTAATCACTCCATCAGTAAAGCTTTTATCCTTGAGGAGGTTGACATTAAATTTCCAGAGACCCCAGCTAAATTTTCGTGACGATTTACTTTTTTTCCCAACCGTTACGCCTACGAGACAGTGATCGCTGAAAAACACAGGTTTGACAGAGTATGCCACTGTAATAGGGCCTAATTCCGCGGACACATATATGCGATCTAATCGCGCATGCGATGACTGCTGAAAGTGGGTGAAACGAAGTTCCTCACGTTCGACGTGCATATCCGCAACGTCGGTCAACAAATACTCATCCAAAATATCTCTTAACAAGGTACTACTACTATCGCTAGGCGATTTCGCTGATGCCCTATCTCGGACATTACATACACAATTAAAATCTCCTAAAAAAATCATATATTTTTCGCAATTAATATATTCTGTTATCTGACGAAAAAAAAGCTCTCTCTCACAGTTTCTGTTTGGGGCGTAAATACACAATACACGCCACTGCAAACCCCCCAGCAAAAAGTCACAAAAAATCAGGCGACCCCCACTATCTGTAGCGACCTTAAGGTCAGTAAGCGCAATACGCTTCGAAAGAAACAAAAAAATGAAAGCCGCTTACAACTCCCTGTAACGCCGAATTAGAGCGCAGCTCTTGAGGAGGAGGAGGGAAGGGCACTGGGGGGGGGGGGGGGCGTCACTGGCATCCACATCGTCATCGTCATCACTGATGACTTCACCGGTGATGATGACGATGACGATGCGAATGTCGGTGACGTCATCAGTGACGTCGCTGATGACGTCATCAGTGATGATGACGATGACGATGCGGGTGCCGGTGACGTCATCAGTGATGATGACGATGACGATGTGGATGCCGGTGACGTCATCAGTGATGATGACAATGACGATGTGGATGCCGGTGACGTCATCAGTGATGATGACGATGACGATGTGGATGCCGGTGACGTCATCAGTGATGATGACGATGACGACGTGGATGCCGGTGACGTCATCAGTGATGATGACGATGACGATGCGGATGCCGGTGACGTCATCAGTGATGATGACGATGACGATGTGGATGTCGGTGACGTCATCAGTGATGATGACGATGACGATGTGGATGTCGGTGACGTCATCAGTGATGATGACGATGACGATGTGGATGCCGGTGACGTCATCAGTGACGATGACGATGACGATGCGGATGCCGGTGACGTCATCAGTGATGATGACGATGACGATGTGGATGCCGGTGACGTCATCAGTGATGATGACGATGACGATGTGGATGCCGGTGACGTCATCAGTGATGACGATGACGATGTGGATGCCAGTGACGTCATCAGTGACGATGACGTCATCGGGGGTCACGCGACATCGGCGGGGGTCACGTGACCTCGAGGAGGGGGTCACGTGACCTCAGGGGAGTCACGTGACTTCGGGGGTCACGTGACCCCCCACGAGGTCACGTGACCCCGGTGGGGGGCTCGCGCGGTCCATTATGGGACATTTCCCATGATGCACCGCGCGGTTACGCCGACGGCGACGGCGACGGCGACGGCGACGGCGACGGCGACGCCGCTCAAGCCGGAAACGGGCCCCTAAGAGCTGCGCTCTAAAACATCCCGCGGATGTACCGACAGCATGGCTGACACACACTTTGTACGCACTTAAAAATGGTCTTAATGCGAGTGCAATTTGATCGTCCTCGTGCATTTTTGTTTCTTGGACGGCAAGGATATCGATGTTTTCCTCGTTTAAAAGCCTTTGCACCTGGTATTGTTTTTTTCTAGAGTTAAACCCTCGCACATTCAATGTGGCGCAACGAAAGGGTTGGTAACGTTCAGGTGTCACTTAAGAAAAAAGGGGCTTTTAAACGATCCTTCGCCGAAAGGAAAGGTTCACCCGTTTAAACCAGTTTTATAACTAAGCACATACGAAAGGGCCTGAGTGTCATTCACTCACAACGAGTCCTTGCGCTGGCGACCATCCGCGGGGATGCGGGGCTTGGGCGGTGCTCTTCGGTGCTTCTTGGGTCCCATGTGGTGCCAGGGCAGTTCGCCCCCGCCTTCGTCTTCGGGAGCGGTCTCGGCGAGAGTATCGTCCAGCTGCCGCTTGCCAGCCAGGATGGCTTCGGCATCCATGGCTTCCGTTGTTCTGCTGTCGTCTTCCTGGGGCTGCTGGTCGTCCCCGGCGTTGGCCCCGGACGTTACCGGACTCTGCGTCGTCCGGGAGGAGGGCTGGGTGGTGCTAGCCGCATTTCTCCCAGACTCAGCGGTCGACGCTAGTGGTAGG